TAAATTGTATATTCAAATATAATAGACTTTCATGAAGACTCTAATCAATCAAAGAATTCGCCAAGTAAGCAAAAATCAAATGGAGACGGGCGTTATGGCTAGTCCAGAATGTCCTCAAAGTTCGTCATGTCCAGACTGTTTGTCCAGCTACCCCGTCAGACTAGTCTAAAGAACAGGAAAAAAAAATGTCTACAAAAGATGGATTCGAACATCCGACCCGACAAGCAGGGTGGCCAGATCGTCTGAAAAATAGAAAGTTTCTGAAATTTGAACACATTTCTGATTTTTTTGTGATCTTCTGATTTTTCCGAATTCGAAACTTTTTCAGATCATAGCTTTGCTAGTGAAATTAGGTACGATTTAACCCATTACTATAATCGATCAATACTGCGCAACCATTTTTCTCTATTGATCACTGATAGTTTCTGGCAAATGAAGGTTTCCAAGTAATTCATCGCTTTTAATTTGGGACTGTGTGCATCATGTATGTTATAACGAGGTACGAATACTTCGAAAAAAGTTCGGGCTAATAGCTTGTTGCTGTCAAGATACTGCATTTTTACGGTATTTTTTAGCACAATGCTGTGATCCCCTCAGGAACACAGGAAAAACTAAATTTTGAATTTCGACTTGAAACTTTGCACAGAGACAGAAGCTAATGAGTGTGGTTTATTGTGAAAGTTTCATTTGTTTTCGTTGTTTCTATTCTAAGATACGGCTATGGTAATAATATGTTTTTAACATCGGTCATACACCGGCAGATCCCAATGTTCTTATTTTAGAATAGGAGCATTTGAAAAAGTTGAAACTTTCACAATAAACGATTATTATTCAGAACTGTCTCTAAGCAAAATTTCAAGTCGAAATTCGATATTAAGTTCAGTGTTTCTTGTGTTTCTGAGGGGACCACGGCATTGAGCTAAACAAATACAATACAAATGCAGCATCTTGAAAGCAACAAGCTATCAGCCCGAGCTCTTTTCACAGTATTCATAGCTCGCTATGGCATACATCATTCATAGAGTTCCGACTTAAAACCGATGAATCACTTGGGAACCTTCCCTCGTAAGTGTATTTTCTTAGTTTTTTGTATTTGCTCAACGCTATATTCATTATATTGTCGTTTTTAACAGTGAAACACCCTTGAAAAAAAAACTATAAGTCAATGAAGAGAAACCCAGTAGAGCATTGGATGCCAGCATCTTAACATAATACCCACTAGTTTTCAAAAAACTGCCCTTTCTGATTAATTTCTGATTTTGTATAAAAAATTTCTGATCGTTTTCTGATTTTGAAAAACAAATTTGGGATTTTAAAATTTTTGATCTGGTCATCCTGCCGACAAGATTCAATATCTAACGGGTATTCTGACGCAAGACAATGACTTACTAATAGACTGACGTCAGTTTACGTGGTCTTAACCTGAAGTTCACCCTCTTTTATCTACTAGATGATTGAAAATAGGTCGAAGACAAACAATATGACTACAGAAGAGTGTCTTCAATGGTAGTCAAGAGTTGTCTGATCTGTTTTCATTACAAGTTCGTTTTTTATATTCACTGTCAATACTAATTGGTAGGCATACACCAAAACCAAAATTAGTTTTGAAGTTTTGGTGTTGAAGCTTTGGTTTTGATGTAGTTTTGGTTTTGAAATATTATTGAAAAAAAATATTTTGAAACCAAAAATGTTCAGTGATCATCATCATCTCCTCCCTTTTCAAAAGTATAGATGAGTCAGTGAGTTTGGCATACTAGACGTGATAGATGTAATTTTCTTGACTGCAAAAAACAACACCAAAGTATTAGAATTTATGTTAGTTCTGACATTTTCATTCAGAAGAATAACAGGTTGTACGAAAAGTTCGTGCAAATATTATCGTTTTTTAAAAAAGAATATGGGTGGGTTGAATGCTTATAACTTTTTATAGAAAACTGTTATAGAGCTGTGGTTTTCAGCATTCGAAAGCGGACAGTGGGGAACGCAAACCCATGTGAAAATAAGAAATTTTCGAATTGCTTTCCAGACTAACTCTAGCTAAGCAAAGTTGGGACAACAGACAATTTTTCTGAAAAGATTTTTTTGAGCATAATTGCCTGATTTCCTAAGTCTGTTTAGCTAGAGTGAGCCTAGGAAATGCTTCGAAGTTTTCTTATTTTTACATGAATTTGTGTCCCCCACTATCCACTTGCGAATGCTGGAGACCACAGCTCTACAGCCGTTTTCCTTAAAAAGTTATAAGCATTCTACCTACCCATGTTCTTTTTAAAAAACGATGATACATCTAAACTGCGTTCGTGAGCCATTAAATGCAGCACTTCTTATTGTACAGTTTCCGAAAACATGAGTTGCACGAATTTTCCGGGCAACCTGTTAACAAGAGTCATTGTTCTGTTCTATACAGGTTTTTTTCTTTAAATCAATTTAGCTTTATATGACTTGTTTTCATTTTAATTCAAAATCGACGGCGCATACTGTTGAATTATAAACATTTGAGGCTTAATATGTTTTATCCTAATTGGTTATATTCTTCAGAACGATCATTGGGATATGTCATACATGTACTATTTTTAATAACTTTCGGAAAATATAAAAGTTCAATAGTTTTACCAAACGATACTGATCGAAAGGCGTTGAAACGATCGTTTCTACTGTAGTTTACAGTTATGTAGCTAAATTTCGTTCAGTTGATATTATTCCCTTTAGACTCGTGCTCGAACTTCTATATATATCTATAACTATTTTGTTTAATTAACCGCTTTCGATCTAGTGAATTTGACTAGATTTACTCTTTCATAAATGAAGGTATGAATATAGTGGTATCATCTACAAGAAATGAAATACTTTTTCGAAAACAAATTGATAATACTTCTTATGAAAATCCTTACTTTTACCTCAGTTTCAATCTCTACAACAGTATCTTTTTAAGATTATTTGGATGAAAATTTACCTCTTTTTCTTCATTCAAAAACTGATATGAGATTGGCATATTCAAATATAGTAACGATTTGCGTCCTCAACTGAAAAATAAATTTTTAAATTCGCCATAACTCTACCAATTTATTTTCAGCAAAGGCGTGGTCGAGTTTTTTTATTATCGTGGTTTTTTTCAACAATATCTACCGTCGAAAGGAGAACATTAATCATTATTTATTAAAACATCAAGATAATTAATCATGAAAGTTGCCGAAGATATCGATACAAATCATCCAACTGATATAAGCAAAATGGATATTGATAATACAAATGAAGTTAAATCGAAGGTTAATGATGATACTAATTTATGGAATTTCAGTGCACCTCAATAAAATTTATCGCATATGTATTTTTTACTTTAAACTATTACAGTTTGCTTTTTTTTCAATAATGAATACATAGCGAGAAAGTATAGGCTTTACTGCATCGCATGGTATATTAATCACAAATAAAAAACAGAAATTAAACAACAAAAAATACATCAGAAAAAAGATGGTATTTTTTCTCACTACAGTCTGTAGTAAGAGTAAATTGATTTTTTATCTTTTTGTCGTTTTTATACATATTAACACATATAAGTCCAATTATTATTTGAATATAGATAAGTTCATGAAAATTAACTTATGTGACGGACTAATTGAACACAGTAAAGAGATTATTAATAGAAATTTCGAAAACAAACTCCAGCTGGAGATTGGTGAATATTTTGTTAGGTCCTGAATCGAGTTTCAAACAAACATTGAATTTTTTCTCTGTTTTGTATTCATCCTCTCTTTTTTTCTTTCGTCTGTTCCTTTATCTACATCTATATTGGACAAATATCTCATATAAATATACGTATCTGTTGCGTCTGACCAATGAATAAATTCACATCTTCACTTCTTAGTACATTGTCTTCATCCTCTACTGCCTATTTTTATAATGATGAACAAATATAATGGATATACTGGTATCTTCAAGCATAATGTGCTTGAAGGATATCGTCCTGGAGTTTACGGGTCTGGATTCAAATCGTTAGCCAAACGTTTCAAAATTAAAGGTGGCTATATGCTGATTAAACATTGGTACCGTCAATGGGACGGTACCGTTCAATCATTAAATCGAAAGTCAAGAAATGGTCGACCACGCACATTGTCAAAGGAAGAAGTGAAACACTGTATACTCGATTTTGTTAAAATAATGGATAGTCAATACAAATCGGTTAATTATAGAATGGTAAAATCACATGTTGAAACTTCATTAAATCGAAAAGTACCATTAAGCAACATCCAAAGATATGGAAAAAAGAACGTGGCATTAAATGCAGAAAAACTCATGAATTAACATTGCGTGATAGTAAGTATGCAGTCTCATAAAAAGGGCATGCCACTATTTCGTCTCATTGTTTAACATCTCATCCGATAATTCTTTTTTTGTACTTGCAGTTGATGATGATTATTGGCATCAAATTGCTAAGTTTCGAAAATTTTTACAATGAATTGATAATGATACACTGGTATTTCTCGATGAAATAGCCATTTATGCTATTATGCCTCCTTGTCGAACGTTTGTTGCTCCTGAACATAAACCATTAATTATTGTTGATAAATCAGCAGCTTGCGCTGAACGGTTTGACTTTATTGGTGCTATTAATGGACCACAAATAATGCCTTATATGACTTTAACACCTACTGATCGCAAAAAGAAAGATGTCAAAGGTGTCCGAAAAGAAGTTGTAAATGAATAGATTACTAATACGTTGGCACCAAGAATTAATCGATTACGTATTAACGACATGTACTTGATATGTGATAAAAGTCGATCGCATAACAAGGCAAATATGATGCGAGCGTTAAAGACTGGTAAATGTAAATCAATTATAGATATCCATTACATGCCAACAGCATCAGCAAAGTACATATCACCATTAGACAATCCAATTTGGCATTCATTTAGGGAACTTGTTCGAAAACAATATCTATTCACAACAGTAGATCTTCCATCAATACATTCACGAACTTTTTATTCATTATCAAGACAAGAAATCAGCAATGCATATCGTAAATGTGCTATTACATATGGAACTGACGTATATTATGATCAACCGTCTATATAAATAAATGTTATCCTTTATTTTAATTCAGATCAAGTATATATTGTAGTGAGAAGAAATGTCATCTTTTTTTCTGATGTATGTTTTGTTATTGAATTTCTGTTTTTTATTTGTGATTAATATACCATGCGACGCAGTAAAGTCTATACTTTCTCGCTATATATTCATTATTGGAAAAAGAGCAAACTGTAATAGTTTAAAGTAAAAAGTACATAGGGGATAAATTTTATTGAGGTACACTGTATATGATGAAGCTACAAAATGAAAAGGCAAAATATACAATTTGTGGTGTTATTTTAAGTCTTAAAAATGGTGCAACTACAGGTTTACGTAAACATTTATATCAAATTCATAAAATCGAGTCTTTTGGAATAACTTCAAAACAATCACGTTCAAAATCTTATCGACTTTCAATTGAATAGAAAAAAAAACTTGATTCATTAATAATAAAATGTGTTATTGAAGATGGTCGAAGCTTTAGTGACATGAGACAATCTGGTATACTAAACGTATTCAATCATTTAGTTCAGGGTAAGAAAAATACAATATATTTGATCATTTTCATCGTGTTTTCTGTTTAGGCTATGTGCCATCTCATTCTAATACTGCCCAACTTCATTTAAAACAATTAAAATCTAAATATAAATTATTATTAATTAAGGAATTTTCGACGTGACAGAGAAACTGTAGTTGTAAAGAATCAGATAAATTGTTATCTACAAATGGATCGCAACATAGTGAAACGAAAGGATTTTCATATAATTAGTAATAGTAGAGCCATCGTGTTTCACATTTGAATCCAGCAAGGGATTGCACTAACAGCTTTTTATTACGAAAACAACGATCCAGATTAATACCTGAAAATTTATCTTATTCCATGTTTCTTAAAGACAAACTCGATGATGATTTCAATATATAAAAAAGCAAACAATATAGGACTAAAAAGCAGTCTCTTCGACCATTTTTTATAGAATTTATTATTAAAGACTAACTTTTTATTCTTTTGATGTTTTTTATTATCATATTTTATTTTACTATTTATTTTCTACTTAAATTTTGTTTTGTTGCTTATGTATTGATTGCCGCGATAAACACTTATTGATATTGATATAATAAAAGCATGAAATATGATCCATTTAACAAGCTTATTTTAAAAAGGAACTGAGCATGATAAACATGATAAATTACGCAAAAGGAAAACTAACTACACACAAATAATCTAGATTTCTTTTTTATTTATGATCCTAGCAGGGTCAAAATCAGATCTACATAGAAGATCTTCAGAGGTAATTTTGAGGAGTTCCATCATATTGGATGTAATATTGTTCTCTATCTAGAATTCATAAGGGCAATTCGACCGTTTTGAAATTTACGATAATACTGATTATATACGTAGCGAATGATCTGGTGTATTATACAAGAAATTTCATTCAGAACAGCTTTTTGATCGATGAGTAAACACTCAAGATAATTTATGAAAAAACCAACAGTATGCTATGCTACACACCCTAACAAGCACATCACTATAAAATTATGGCATTGCAGGCTTTTTTTCTTTTACTTTGTGGATAACAAGCTGAATTACAAGGTTATTTGGTAAATAATATTAATTAAATAAAAAAAGTTTCTCCAGATGCTATAGATATCTATGGCAAAATAGAGTCATGTATTCAAATCAAGGAAAATGGTCTGCATCATGGTAGTAATTTCAGAGTTATCTAAAAACTGTGTATGGTAGTATCAGGAAAAGCTCCCACTTGATTTTTCAGAAATATATTTTTCAGACCGTGCTTTTAAGATTAAAATGTTGATAGTTTTCGAAACGATATTTTGATCATTATAAGCGTACAATTAATAGAAGAGATATGATTTTCATCGATACGCAATATTATATTAGAAGCCTATTTCAAGTTAGCAAATATATAACAGCTTATAGAAAGGCATTATAGATTTATTGCATCAAAATAATTGTTTTTCAATAATATCTCAAAATCAAAACCAAAACCAAAAAAAACCTAACCTGATCGAGATCAATACGATCGATACCAAAACCATATCAAAACCAATACCAAAACCGTCAAAACTATATCAAAACCAATACTGCGAAACCAAAACTGGATCGAAATCAATACTTCAAAACCAAGAGTTTTGGCTTTGGTGCACGCCTAAGTATGTTTTACTAAAGATCAATCAATATTATAAACACATGTATAAAAATAGACGATCGAGAAAATTTGTTTGAAGCATGATGGAGATATATGTAATTCTTGTATTCAAGATTTATCTCACAAATGAGTTTCCATTACTCTGTCAAGTAACTCAACACAACTGGTTACAAAATATAAATCTTGGGTGAAAAGTAAAATCTGTACTATCATCGTTTTCTCT